AACTTCATTAAGTCTTACAACTTTTTGTCAAAAATAACCATGCTAGTTTGGTAAGAGAAATAAATTAGAGGATTTACTCCTAGAAGGCTTTAAGAACTAAGAATCCCCTTCCCACTGTGGCATGGCAGAGGAGAAGAAGAAAGCATAAACAAAGATTATCCCAAAGCACCTTTAAATTAAGAGTTAAAATTTTTGTCATGATGAAAAGAGTAAATTAAGTTAGATTTCTTATATTTTTAGAAAGCAGGAAGGTATGTAGTACATTTTTTAGAAGTTATTAGAATGGTTAAAAATCAAAGTGGCAAGCTTCTGTTATATGGAAAAATAATCTATGAAATAATTCTTAAGATACCAGATAAATAAATATCTGTTATATTATTTAACAAATCTCTTTAAAAGGATTCTTTCACTATGCTTTTTTTTAAAGTTTTACTTTCTTCTTATTTAAGCCTGATATTACATAGACACATGTATATATTTTCATCCCAACACTATTATAATGACTTTAATACTGATAGACGCTAGAAAAACATTCAAAATATGTAGAGTGAATTTTATTATGACCGGATTTAAAAAATGCTTTTCTTACTAAAAACTGTTTTTCTAAAGTTGTGCTTATAATGGAGCAAGTGGTATCTCGGTGATTGTAAGCTTCTTGAGTGCAAGCACTGTTATTCATGATTATCTATTTGCATGTAAGTGCTCAATAGAAGTATATTAAAAAACCAAACTCGTTGCCATTTTGTCGATTCCGATTCATAGCGACCCTATAGGACAAAGTAGAACTGCCCCTTAGGGTTTCCAAGGAGCAGCTGGTGGATTGAACTGCCAACCATTTGGTTAGCAGCTGAGCTCTTAACCGCTGCGCCACTAGGGCTCCAGGGTGGAAGTGTATTAGTTGAATTAATATTACACTGATGCATATGTTGTGTACACTGCTAAATCATAAATTGCCATATGTTTGAGAATCCCATTTACATTTTGTTTAAAATTATTTTAATCAGATTTCTTTATATCTTAACTTTTACACGTAAGGTATATCTTTAGCCCATTCATAATGTATTGTTGCTTCTGGGTTGATACAACTTAGTTATCTATCCCTTCTCTTTTCCTCCATGCTTATACTCCTTTTGGCTGTTAAGGTTCAAACTATATCGTGGGCTTATTTGCATCTACCTCCCCCACTGTTCCTGCTCCCTTATTTATTGAAAATAATTTTTTATTGCGATGAAATCTATATGACAAAATATTTGCAATTTCAATAATTTTTATGTTTATAATTCAGTGACACTAATTACATCCACCCTGTTGTGCAACAGTCACCACTGTTTCCGATTTTTTAATCACCCTTATCAGAATCTCTGTACCCCTTAAGCAATACCACCACCCCCCATTCCCCTCCTTTCTCCTGCCCCTGGTAATCACTAATAAAGTTTGGTCTCTATGCATTTGTCTATTCTAGATATTTCATGTAAGGGGGGTCATACAATATTTGTTCTTTTGTAACTGACTTATTTCACTCAGCATGTTTTCAAAGTTCATCCATGTCATAGTATGTGTCCGAACTTCGTTTCTCTTTATGTCTGAATAATATTCCATTGTATGCATATACTACATTTTGTTTATCCATTCATCTGTTGATGGATGCTTGGGTTGGTTCCACCTTTTGGCTATTGTGAATAATGCTGCAGTGAACATCAGTGTACTAGTATCTGTTTGATTCCCTGCTTTCAGTTCTTTTGGGTATATACAGATGAGTGGAATTTCTGGGTCGTATGATAATTCTATGTTTAACTTTTTGAAAAGCTGCCATACTATTTTCCACAGCAGCTGTACCATTTTATAGTGCCACCAGTAATGGATGAGGGTTCCTGTTTCTTTATATCCTTGCCAACACTTGTTATTTTTCATTGCTATGATAATGGCCATCTCAGTGGGGATGAAGTGGTATCTAGCATTTGGAGTAACATTTTATAACTGGAAGACAGCCTATGACAGAATTTCAAGGAATCTAAGCATCAAAAAGTAAAAGTAGCAAACTACTTTGAAGTCTGAGAACAACTTAATCTACTATTAGAATTTAAATTACATGTGAACAGACAAGGACGTTATCAAGCTTGTTCGTCTCTATCCCTAGCCCGTTTCTTACATTCAACACTGCATATTTGTTCAGTTAATGAATCGCTGTTTTGGTTTGCTCTACCGCTAACTGAAAAAAAAAACAAACCCAAACCCGTTGCCATCGAGTTGATTCTGACTCATAGTGACCCTATAGGACAGAGTAGAACTGCTCCATAGGGTTTCCAAGGAGCAGCTGGTAGATTTGAACTGCTGACCTTTGGGTAACAGTGGAGTTCTTAACCACTTCACCACCAGAGCTCCTACCACCGACTGAGGACAGAAATGCTTTAGTGGTAGAATTCTCGCTTTCCGTGTAGGAGACCCAGGTTTGATTCCCAGTCAGTGTACCTCATATGCAGCTACCACCTGTCTGTCAGTAGAGGCTTGCCATGTTGCTGTGATGCTGAACTGGTTTCAGCAGAGCTTCTAGGCTTAAGACTGGCTAGGAAGAAAGTCCTGGTGATACACTTTTGAAAGTTAGCCCCTGGAAACCCTATGAATCATTACAGTCCCGATCTGCAGCTGATCATGGGGATGGTGCGTGACTAGGCAGTGTTTTTTTCCATCGTGCGTGCGGTCATCATGAGTCAGGGACTAATTCAGCAGCAGCTAACAACAGCAACCGTTACCAGCTGTACTCCTTTGCTTTGATTATAATTGCTTTTAAAGAAGCACTTTGTCACTTCGATAGGTGAAACTGGGTCCTAATTTGTATTTTTTGAATATGTAATTTATCAGTTTTTAAATATGTTTATTAAACATTAAATTTTTGAGAATTATCTATTTAAGTAGCCTAGACCTGTGCTGTTTAATATAGTAGCCACTGGCCTCATGTGGCTATTGAACACTTAAAATGGAGCTAGTTCAAATTGAGATGTGCTCCAAGTGTAAAATATATACTGGATTTTGAAATCATATGAAAAAAATAATGTAAAGTATCTCAGTAATTTTTTAATATTGGTTCTGTGTTGAAATGACATTTTGGATATATTGTGTTAAATAAAATAACATTATTAAATTAATTTCACTTATTTCTTTTTATATTTTTAATGTGGTTATTAGAACATTTAAATTTGCATAGGTGGCTAGCATTATATTTCTTATTGGACAGCACTAATCTAGACAGTAATCCGATCATTAGATGATTATGTCTTGAATTAGGGTGGTATTTATAGAAAGGAGATAGGAGGGATTTTAAGAGTTTGTGCAATGTGCATATACATTATATAATCTCATTATATTACTGGATATTTTACAGTTTCTGTGTGTTTCTGTCATGGCTTTGTTATCAGTAATCTTTTTGAGAGTGAAGAATATGTCATTATTTTTCCTTCTCTTGTACAACTTGTCTGTTGCTGCGTGAGTAGGAACTTGATTAAACAAACAAGAATTAATAAAACATTAAATAATTTTATAAATCCAAGGTTTCAATTTTTAGAATACAGTCAGTGATTCCTTATACCCTTTATGTTGAGATGACAATACCACCAGCCTGCCAAATCATTCATATCTCCTTTAAAAGGTGTAAGAGTAAGGGCGCTAACATCTAGTCTTATTTGTACTAGGCTCTAGATAGTTATTTTAGATCTTTCATTTAATCTTTACATTAATGATATGAGTAAAGTATTAACCACCTTTTACAGATTAAGACAGTGAGATTAAGTTTTCCAGTGTTAAGTCATAAATCCAGATATGTCCAGCTTCCAACTTCAACCTTTTTCTACTGTAGCTTAGTATCTCATTTAAAGGTAGCTAATTATTTTATTTTTTCCCATACAAAAATTTATACATACATTGTTATGTGACTCTAATTGCTCTCCCCATACTGTGCCAGCACACTCGTCCTTCCCACCCATGAGCTCCTAACCCTCTCTGCCTTCCCATCTCACCTCCGGACAGAAGCTGCCGGTTTAGTCTCTTGTATCTACTTGACTAAGAGGCACACTCCTCACGAGTATCATTTTATGTCCCACAGTCCAGTCCAATCCCTGTCTGAAGAGTTGGCCTCAGAAATTGTTTTAGTTCTGGGCTGATAGAGAATCCAGGGGCCATGCTTTCTGGGGTTTCTCCAGTCTCAGTCAGACCATTAAGTCTGGTCTTACTAGAATTTGAGTTCTGCACCTCACCTTTCTCCTGCTCCATCTGGGACTCTGTTGTGTTCCCTGTCAGAGTGGTCATTGGTGGTAGCCAGACATCATCTACTTCTTCTGGTCTCAGGCTGATGAAGTCTGTGGTTTATGTGGCCCTTTCTGTGTCGGGCTAGTACTTTCCTTGTGTCTTTGATGTTCTTCATTCTCCTTTACTCCAGGTGGTTGGGACCAATTGATGCATCTTAGATGGTTGCTTGCAAGTTTTTGAGACCCCAGACGCCAAAGTAGGATGCAGAACATTTTCTTAGTAAGTTTTGTTATGCCAGTTGACCTAGATGTCCCCGAAAGCATGGTCCCCAGACCCCTACCCCTGCTACTCTGTTCCTCAAAGTGTTTGATTGTATTCAGGAGACTTCTTAACTTTGGTTTAGTCCAGTTGTGCTGATTTCCCCTGTAGTGCGTGCTGTCCTTCCCTTCACTAAAGGTGGCCAATTATTTTAAGTTGACATGAAGTAAGTGAAGAATAATCATTAGAATGAAATGTAAACTGAAGTAAATTTTGACAAGTTTATCATGTGTAGATTATATGTTCCATATTCAGTATATGAAAGAAAATTTAGAAATATTTATTCCCTACAACCTGAGAGGTTAAAAAAAGATACATTTGTTTTTCATTCTGATTTTTTTTGTGTGTGTGTGTATTGTAATTCCGTAAATTTTACAATAGCTCATGGAGAAAAATAAGATTGTAATAGTTTTAAATCATCTTCCCTTTATTTTGTCTTTCAGATAAAATCAAAGACAAAATCAAAGAGAGAGACAAAGAAAAAGAGAGAGAAAAGAAGAAGCATAAAGTAATGAATGAGATCAAGAAAGAGAATGGAGAAGTAAAGATTTTGCTGAAAGGTAAGTGTATATTGAGTAATTTTACTTGTAAAATATTGTATTGCTCAGTATACTTATTTGGTAAATGATTAAAATAAGAGATGTTATTTGTTGCTGAGAATAGACATTAATGGTCAGGAAATGAAAGTAAATGTAGTGGGAGTTCTGATCTGTGTGGTAACATGTCTTTAGTGTATTTAGTGAGCCATTAAAAGTAAAGGTTAAGCTTCATTAAACTATTAGATTCCTTTAATGATTTTAAAATAGATTATTGAATTCCCCGTTTGCATTATTAGTCTTTATCCATATTTAGATAATCTACAGTAAATGGTGAAAGCAATTTTTAGCATGATAGGGATGGCAAAAGAAATGATCTTATAAATATATGACATTAATCATATAGTCTAGGATTTAGGGGGAACATTTTACTCTGAGCTAAATCTAGAAGAGGTACTCTTTAGGTGTATGTTTCTTGGCATGCTTAAGAGTATCCTCTTTTTGTTTCCTGTTGTTTTGCTGTTATAAGGATATTCATTTGTTGCTTATTCATGGAGAAGGGAGGAGAATTTGAAGGGTGTGTGACTGGTAATAAGATAGAATTTGTGGTAGAAGTAAAGACATTCTTAAATTCACTTGAATAGCAAAGTAAGAAGAATCAGTGGCCTTTGGTTGCTAGAGAGCTAAAAATTCATTAAGATGCCCTATCAGGTTGACAGTTGCTGATCAGAACGCTTTTACCTTGATTAATTTCATATTGAATTTACAGGTTGATAAGCCTTTATATCTACATAAGGGAGAAAAGGCCATAGCACTTCATGTGCAATGAAATAACTGGTTAATTTATATTATTTAAGATTAACAGTATTAGACTCTAGTTCATTGTTTGTCATGTTTCCAGATATTCTTTGGTGGCACTTTATATAAGCTCTACTTCCTACGTGTCAGAACTTTATTTTCTATGATATTCTTTCAACTTTGAAGAAACACGTCAAGACTTAAGTTGATGGCTACTTAGTTAATGCCCATGATCTTTTTGTTCTATTTCCTTTGCCAGTGTGCTTTAGCAGTGTTGTTTAAGTCTAGATGGTAAGCCTTTGAGGCAGGAACCCTATTTAACAATAGTGCTGTACAGCAGGTAATGATTACTGCTTGAATTGATTACTTAACTTTACCCTATTGGTTTAGTTAAATAGGCGTTTTCTTATTCATCCACTTGAATGTACAGTGATGCAAATTCCTGTCACTTGAGAAAGATTCTATGTCTTATGTTTTAGAAATATTTTATAAAAGTTATATGTTCTCGGTTGAATGCTAGATTAATGTACATTAATGTGAAATATGTAAATCTAGGGGGTATACATGCAAACAAAATAAAAAATAGCCTTAAAAATGAACATTTTCTAGTAATGTGCAGTACTGACCTTAACTTGGAAGTAGATGAAAAGTTTAAGAGATATTTTGAACCGAACTAAACTGAAACCCAGAGGTGATAAAGGAAAAAGAATTAGGTAGACTTGGAAATTTAGTTTGTGATTTCCAGGATAACCATGGGGAAATTTAGAGAAAATATTTTTACTGTAAAATGGAGATAAATAATACAATTTAAATACTGTCTTATAGAGTTGTGAAGATTAAATAAGGTAAAGTATGGGGTAGGTGCTGAGTATAATGCATGGTCCACAAATAATAAGTAGATATGAATCTTTCTTTTAAATAGATATGAAAGATTAACTCTTGTGATTGAAAAACAACAACAAAACTTTCTCCTCTACTCAGTGGCTAACATATAGATAATTAAAAAGATAAAAACATGATTAATCTGGAAAACAGTGCCTGTCCCACTGTAAACACCAAGTAAGTGTTAGTTATTGTTATTCTCCACCCAAAACAATTTTCTCTGCATGTGTAGCCATTTCTCAAGTGACCCTATGATCAGGGGTAGGCATTCTTTGTTATTGGTGTCCTGGAGCAACAAAGAATCAATTTGGCAGGAGCAACATACTATTATTTACTACTGTGTGCCCCTTTTCCTTAATGGCCATCAAATTTTATTCTCTCCTTGTTATAATTTTCTCCTGGTAATGCTAATGTTGCAAGCTATTGACACAAATAGGCATTTGATGATGGCATTTCCAAGTCTAAAATAGATGCTAACTCTTATTTCACACCAATCTCATTTCCTCCAGGTTTTCCTTAAAAACAATGTCAAGTTTAGTATGACTACAGATACATACACAATTATATACATACTGAAAATTTTTATTAATATAAAAGTCTTGTTTTTCACTGATAAAATAGGATTGTTTGCCATGTTAAAGCCCTTATTTAAAGGAGCAAATAACGTTTATACTAAGTTTATTTAGTTGTTCTCATCCTTTTATATCTAATGTCTATCAACTGCTGAGCACACGTATATGTTCCAGCCATGTTTATGTTGTTTATTAATGGTAAGTTGTAAAAACATTTATGTTATGATTATAGTATTTTTGAGAGTAAATTTTATCATTATAGCATATCAAAAAAGCTTGCTGGTGAGCAGGTGGAATGCGAGAAAGGTCACAGGTAGGTAATTCATGGCAGAAAGGGTGATAATATCACAGTGGGGGAAAAGCAAAGTTGTTTTCCCAAAGACCAAAGGTTGAAATAGCTAATTACTACTTTTTTCTCTGTATGATAATACATGAGGTTGTATGTATTAACTCCGATATCAGCTCTGAAATCAGACCCAATTTTTCTGAGCAGCTTTTATTTTTCCTTTATTAACACAAAACATATACTGATGTTAGTGGTAGAAGTTAATGCCAGTGAATCTGTGATTTTTAAAGGGGCTTTTCATAATTAGCCATTAACATACTGTTTCTGTATTTGTCTCTGTTTTTGTGTGTGGTTCTTTCTCTGCATGAGAATCCCTTTCTTTCTGGCTATGTGTATGTGCTGGCATCTCTCTCTGTGTCTGTTCCACTTTCTTGCTCTGGTTCTGGCTCTGTATGCGTGTATGTGCCTGAGGTCTTCTGTGTGTGCGTGTGTGTGACACACAGTGTATGCACGTCTGTTGCAGTGTGTGGCTCTGTGGATGTGTATGTGTCTGTCATATACTGTGTGTCTGTGGTTCTGTAGGGGGAAGACCACCCAATCAACCTTATGCTTTTAAAGAATTTTTATTTTCTACATGTACATATACTATATTTCATATGTAGACAAAAAAATGAGTGAAAGATTACATAAAATCCTTAAAATCTTATCTAGTGAATGCTAGTTCCTCAGTTTGGCTTAAAGGTAAAGAATGCATTTTATCTGTGTGTATTGGGGGTCCCCAAGATGAGTCTCAGGTTTGATGATTCACAGGACTCAGCATGTAGTCATACTCATGGCTATGATTTATTACAGCCAAAGGATACAAAGGAAAATCAGTAAGGGGAAAAGGCACCATAGGGTCGTGTCCAGAAGAAACCAGGCAGAAGATTTCAAGAGCCTTCTCCCGGTAGAGCCACACAATACCTACTTAATTCCTCCAGCTAATTGTGACAACACATGTGAAATGTTATCTACCAGGAAAGCTCATCAGAGACTCGGTCCCTGGGATTTTATTAGGGATTGGTCACATAGGCATCCTCTGTCTAGCATGGACCAAAATCCCAGACTCCCAGAAAGAAAGTAGATGTTTAGCATAAACCAGGTTGTTTTCATAAGCAGTTTAGGCACAGTGAGCCACTCTCATCAGGGAATGGTGGGAACCCTCCTGCAGTCCAAGTTCCCAGATGCAGCCAGGGGCCAGCCTTGCAGGCTGGCCTTTGTAAGGATAGCAGTCACAGGCCTGTTAAGTTAACTATCTTCTGTACACTGTGCTCACTTTAGTATTTAATTATAAAATATTTTACCATGGGAATTTAACTCCTTGATGAGCGATATAAGAATCTTTTAACTGATTTCTTATTAGTTTTCAAGTTTCTAACTGTTAAAATACTTCTTGTCCGTTCTCATGAGTGGAAAATAGGTAAGCTAACTGTTGTGCTTATTTTATCTCAAAGTAACGTGTTTTAATGACTAGATTTTCTGTTTTAACTTTATTAATGTGTTGGTTGTAAATGTAATAAATAGGACATTAACTTATATTTTCATTTAAATGAAATTCTGTTTATTTTGGCAAACTATACAATTTGTGCAATTTTATATGTATTTTTAATTATAGGATTTAGGCATGGTCTAACCTGTTGCCATCAAGTTGATTCTGACTCATAGTGACCCTATAGGACAGAGTAGAACTGCCCTACAAGGTTTCCAAGGAGTAGCTGATAAATTCGAACTGCTGACCTTTGGATTAGCAGTTGAGCTGTTAACCACTGTGCCATCAGGGCTCCATTAATCACCTAGGCCTTTTAAATTTTTTTTAATTCTAATGTTTAGTTCATCCACTTTTTTTTTCCCTTGATTTATTTGGATATTGCTTTCATATATAAACATTCTGCATCTTCCATTTTTTGTATTAGCCCCATGTTTTAGTTTTGTTCATCGTTTATTTTGTTTTTTAGATATTAACCTAAATCTAATGTTTTGATGGAGTCCCTGGGTGGTACAAATGTGCTAACCAAAGGGTTGGAGGTTTGAGTCTACCCAGAGGCAGTCTACTTCCAAAAAAATCAGACATTGAGTCACAGTTAACTCCATGGTAACTTTTTTTTTTTTTTAAAGTTTTGATAGTTCATACCTATGTAGCAAGTATGAATTTGTTAAACTCTTTAGAGAATCAGCACTTTACATTTTATGACTTTCAAGCCTCTGCAGTGAATAATGTTGACGAATGTTTATTTTTGCTTTTCATGATGATGTGATTTTGATCTTCATTGCATACTTACACATTCTTAGAAGTGATAATTTATTATTAACATTAAACTTCCCTTTTACAGAACTCCCATCACCTTGAGGGAATTTCATTTTTAATTTTTTTTTAATTGTACTTTAGATGAAGGTTTACAGAACAAATAATTTCTCAGTAAACAGTACACATGTTGTTTTATGACTTTGGTTAACAACCCCATGACATGTCAACACTCTCCCTTCTCGACCTAGGGTTCCCTGTTACCAGCTTTCCTGTCCCCTCCTGCCTTCTAGTCCCTGTCCGTGGCCTGTTGTGCCCTATTAGTCTCATTTTCTTTTTTTTTTAATTGTACTTTAGATGAAGGTTTACAGAACAAATAGTTTCTCATTAAACAGTCAGTACACATATTATTTTATAACATTGGTTAACAACCCTACAACATGTCAACACTCTCCCTTCTCCACCTTGGAGGACCTTTTTTTTTTTTTTGGTGAAAATATACATAGCCAAAGATACACCATTTCAAAAATTTCTGCATGTACAATTCATTGACATTGATTACATTCTTCCAGTTGTGCTGCTATTCTCACTGTCCTTTTCCAAGTTATTCCATCACCATTATCTTCAACTCACTGTCCCCTAGGCTTCCCATCAAACCTTTTGAGTTGCTGTTGTCAGTTTGATCTCACATAGATAATACTTCTTTTTTTTTTGTACTTTAGATGAAAGTTTACAGAACAAATAGTTTCTAATTAAGCAGTACACATACTGTTTTATGACAATGGTTAACAACCCCATGACATGTCAACACTGTTCCTTCTCAACCTTGGATTCCCTATCACCAGCTTTCCTGTCCCCTCCTGCCTTCTAGTCCTTGTCCTTGGACTGCTGTGTCTCATTAGTCCCGTTTTGTTTCTATGGGGCTGTTCAGTCCCCGGCTGAACGGTGAACCTCGGAAATGACTTCACCACTGAGCTAAAAGGGTGTCCGGGGGCCGTACTCTCGGGGTTTCTCCAGTCTCTGTCAGGCCAGTAAATCTGGTCTTTTTTTCTGTGTTAGAATTTTGTTCTACATCGTTCTCCAGCTCTGTCCAGGACCCTCTGTTGTGATCCCGGTCAGAGCAGTCGGTGGTAGCCGGGCACCATCTAGCTGTACTGGCCTCACTCTGGTAGAGGCCTTGGTAGCTGTGGTCCATTAGTCATTTGGACTGATCTTTTCCTTCTATCTTGTTTTCTTCCTTCTCCCTTCCTCCTGAAGGGGCGGGACCAGTGGAGTGGAGTATCTTAGATGGCTGATACTCAGACACTATTCACCAAGGTAGAATGTAGAACATTGTCTTTATAAACTGTGTTATGCCAGTTGAGCTAGACGTTCCCCAAGACCATGGTCCCCAGAGCCCTCCGCCCAGCAATTCAGTCCCTCAGGGAGTTTGGATGTGCCTATGGAACTTCCATGACCTTTCCTTGTACAAGTTGTGCTGGCTTGCCTTGAGGGAATTTTTGTTCTTGTTTACAGGTTATTCATATGATGGAAAAACTTGACTGAAAGGTAGACAAGCGGAAAAAATCTATAAATCTCAGGTATTCTGAGAGACATCTTTTCGTTCATAGATTCATTAAGTTTATTTGTAACAATATGGATGCCATGAGGGACACATGATGGAAAAAAGTATCACTTTACTCTAAATTCATATAAAAGTTGTTTCATTCATTCTGTATGTCCTAAAGGACATATGATATACATGTATTCTATCACTGAAGCAAATAATAACTTTTGTATTAATTCAGAGTAAAATGATTTCCAACTAGAGAGATGAGGGAAAGCAAAATGAAGGAAATGATGCAAGCGTTATCTTTTATTTAGTAGTCATTACTGGGCAGGGCAAGGGTGTTTTAGGGAGAAGAAATGCCTTTGCCACTAGTACAAAGATAAAGTAGGACTAGGTATGTTTTATAAAAAATTGTAAGTAGTACACTTTGACCAGAGCATCTCTTACCTGAGAGCATTGTTTTTGGACTAAAGAGTTTGTACTTCATTTGGTAGCAATTGAGAGCCTCAAAAGCAGTTAAGCCAAGGTATGAATATGATCAAAACAATATATAAAAATCGTAGAAAGATTAATTTGGCACCAGCATTTAGGATAAGAGACTCATGAGGCAGTTAGACCAAAAATGAATCCAGTATGAGTAGACCCTGACTTACAACAGGGTTCCGTTCTGACGACTCCGTCTTAAGTTGGTCCTGATTTAAGTTGAATACCTTTTTTTTTTTTTTAGTTTTCATTATTATTGCCTTTTATTATCAGTGTTTTTATAAATCATAACATTGAACATCTGCAAGTGAACATCTGAGAATGATAACATCAGCAAATTATGCACTGCAACATTGTATGTAGTACGTATGACTAGCCATAAGATGTTAAAAAACAGATGGTTGTAAGTGCAGTTCTTCATAATTTGAATATGTCGTAAGTCGGGGACTACCTGTAGTATCAAGGAAGTGAAATAAAGGCAGTAAGAGATGAGTTGGATAATTCTGTCACGCATTGGAGATATTAGAAAGAACGATTTGAGAAAATATCATTAGATTTGGTATTTAGACATTCTGGGAAGGCAAATTTGAGTAGATGGGAAGCAGAACCAGATTTTAAGGGATAAGAATGGTAGGGTAATAACAGGAAGATATTGACATAGATGGTTCTTTTTAAGGAGTTTGGTGGTCAGAAGAAGAGAAAAGACTATTAGGTCAGACCTTTTGGAATTGTTGAGAGGGACTTAATTTTAGAAAGTAGGCAGCATATCTCACTGGAGACAGAAAGGAATAAAAGAGGTATGTGAAGATGGAAAAATTTGAGGTAAAGAGGAAGCATGTTGGAGGAGTTAAATTCTTGACAGGTTATTGGTAAAAATGAAATAACAGAAACAGTGAATGCCTTCCTTTTCAGCTGTTAGTTTAGTGACTTTTTTGTGTTATCTTAGGAAGCATAATATTTTCTTTTGAGAATGTTTACTTTTTTTCTTTTTCTTGTTATTAGAAATGAATATACTGTGATAGTGTTACACATTTATATGGACACTTAAATTCTATAGCTGTGCACAATGGTTAAGTGCTTAGCTGCTAATTGAAAGTTTGGCGTTTTGAACCCACCAACTGCTCTACAGGAGAAAAGACCTGACAATCTGCTCCTGTAAAGATTTCAGCCTAGGAAACCCTATGGGGCAGTTCTACTCTTTCCTATAGGGTTGCTACAGGTTGGAATCAACAGCACACAACAATAGCCTCTGTGGGTTAATATTTTATTCTTTGGAGTTCTAAATTTCTGAGCCCACAGAGTCTACTTGCCTTTGGTTACAGATGTTCATTAACATATATGTTTTGATTCCCCGTTTGTTTTTTCTTTTACTTTTTATTCATCTCTTTACTAATAGTGGGTATAATTTGAGCTTAGGATATGAGAAATGATTCCCATTTTGTCATTTCCATTATGGTACCTTGTTGAGTCTTCATTGGAAACTCTGTAAACTGTGGTGGACCTAAAATGGCCCATTTTAAAGGCAAGAGAAGTTTACTAAAGAGGAAATATGGTAGAAAGCTAAGGAGTTGCTGTGTTTGTTACTGTTATACTATGCATATATTTTTCTTTTTCCATGATTTATAAATCTCCTTGATACCTCATTGACTCGATGTAATTTGTAAGGCCTGAGATAAAGTAAAATTGACAATATCAGAGGGAAACATCTTTAGGGCATTGTTCATATTGCCTTTTATTCAACTTTTCATTTCTGTTTTTTTTTATTTTAAAATTTTAAGATTATGTTTTCTAAAATATTCACTCATCTCATTACTTCAGTAAACACTTACAGAGCATATGCTACATGTCAGAATGGTATTATACACCATGTGTATAATTTTGTCCTAAACCTTCCTCTTTGAGTATGTATGTGTGGGGGCTAACTAAATCTTGATTATCAGTGTTGTGTAAAATGAGTCCCGAATAGAAACCTAATTCTGAGTAAATTTTGCTTATTTATTACAAAACATTTCATAAAGCATGGTTTTTTTTTAGTAATTTAAGTATGGAGTTTCAAAAAAAATTTTTCCCAACAGGTGGGAAGGAGAAACCAAAAACAAATATAGAAGACTTGCAAATTAAAAAGGTAAAGAAGAAAAAGAAAAAGAAACACAAAGAGAATGAAAAACGGAAGCATCCAAAAATGTATAGCAAATCCATTCAGACCATCTGCTCAGGATTGCTGTCTGATGTTGAAGATCAAGAAGCCAAAGGGATCCTAAATGATAACATAAAGGATTACATCGGAAAGAGTTTGGATACCAAGACTTATGATTCCAAAATTCCAGAGAACAGTGAGTTTCCATTTGTCTCATTAAAGGAGCCACGGGTTCAGAATAACCTCAAAAGGTTGGACACTTTGGAGTTCAAACATCTCATTCATATTGAGCACCAGCCTAATGGAGGTGCATCAGTTATCCATGCCTACAGTAATGAACTCTCCCACTTGTCTCCTGTGGAGATGGCGAGGTTTGCAGAAGAGTTTGTGGGACTGGTGTTCAGTGAAAATGAAAACTCTGCAGCTTTCTATGTAATGGGTATTGTTCATGGGGCAGCTACTTATTTACCTGACTTTTTAGACTACTTTTCATTTAATTTTCCCAATTCACCAGTGAAAATGGAGATATTGGGAAAGAAAGATATAGAGACAACGACTATGTCCAATTTTCATGCTCAGGTAAGAGGTTTATAGTTTATTTTTTTTAAAAAAATAACCTTTAATTATATGATTTAGAGAAGTTTCTGTTTGTTTCTGATTTTCTGTAGATTTGAAATAAAAAGGTAAGAATACAGTGAAACCTTTTGGCGTATTAAGAGTGCATTACTTTCTTGATGTGGACTGCAAAGTTTAAATTTCAGTTCCTAGTTTAAATTTCAGTTTCTGTCTTAAAGATAACTAATGAAATAATTAAGCATCTGTTGTCATTTTTTGGAAGGATTTATCTTGGACCTGATGAAGGGCATTTAGCTATGCATTTTGCAGTCCTTAAAACAGTTTTTTTTTTAAACCTGAAAATCACCAAAAATTGCTTCTTGCATTATGAGGTAACACCCTTAAAGTGCTTGGCACTGGCTCCATCACATAGTAGGATGGAGTGCTTGATAAATGTTGACTATTAATTATATTAGGACCTACCAATTATTGTGGGATTATATGAGAAAATTAGCAAATTAATGCATATATTGAACTAATTTCCATTTCCTGCTTTTCTCTGTGGTGTAGAATATACAGTATTGTAGTAGACAGAGGCAGAAGCCAAGTCTGCTGGCTCTTGAAGATGAATGTGGGCCCATCTGAAAGGCTGGGGCCATTGTTACTGATCCCTAGATCAGGGACTGCGTAGGCAAGGAGATTGGCCAATTCTCAATTCTTACGTTTAATGGTGCTACAACTTCTGTTTTCCTAGGAGCTGTAGTAATTGACAACATTCTAGTTTAGTAGGAAGAAAAAAGTAAAGTCTCAAAGAGATCTTAGTGATAATCTATTCTAACCTTTCTCAACTTACAGATAAGCAAATAGACATAGCTAGAAATCACTTATTTTTTTAAGGTTGGCAGCAGTGCCAGGAGTAGAACAAAATCTCCGTAATCCTTTTCTAGGACCCTTTCCCCAACCCTGAAGAAGGTCCCCTTTTTTTTGGTAGGTGTTCAAGTTGTAGTCTCCACTTTAGAAACAGTAGTCTAATGTCCAGTCCCATCCACACGTGCCAGATTCCCCCTCCCCCACAACAGTATGTTTGGTGTATGGTCTGTAGAGTACTGTAGTTTAAAAAATGTAGTAATTTAACGTGTGTGGCGGTGGGGGCGGGGGCGGTGTTTCCCTCATGTAAGATGTTTGAAAACTGGAATTTAACTAATTTTTAGAGCTGAAAGAAAGCTACAGAGCACCTATTATTAGCCTGTCATTTTATAGAATTACAGAGAGATTAGTGACTTGTCTAAGATTACACCTTAATTAGTGGCAGAACCAGGACTGGCATCTACTGTTTGAGTACTGACTGCCAAGAACTGTTCTAAGTATTTTATACGCATTTACATTTAGTCCTCATTACATTCTAATTTTAGCAGTGAGGAAGTAGAGATACAGTGGGAGAAGAAATAATTTGCCCAAAGTCCCTTGGCACTAGATCTCGTCATTTATCGTATGCCTGCTAAATGCTGGGTATTATGCTAGGCTACTTGACTCCCAATCCCTTTTGTTTCTACTATATCACAAACTTTGTCGCCGCTATAACATGCAAGTTTATTTCACTCAACTATTATATGAATAATACTCAACATTTTCTTTTAAAAAAGCTTTTGATGGAAGGTTAGGAAACATTAATTTCATATTAATGATAAGAATTTTCACCTTAACTATGTTATAAGTGCAACATAAAAACTGCATTTGTTATTAAATAAGGTGCTGGGACTTACTAATCATGCCAGCATGTGGCTGGGTTGTGGATTTCAAGTCCTTGATGAAACATCTACCCTCGTTGCCACCACCTATTCAGGGTTCTTGGGTAATTCATATATTTTGAAGAGGAACCTCTAGGCAGATGCACCCTCTTTGTTACCAGCTGTGGCTCTGGCCCCATATCTATGTGATTGGCTACCTAGTGACCTATACATGTCAATTACAAGGACTACTTTAGCTTTTTTAGCTTTAGACTAAAGGCAGGCAGAAAGCTGCCTGCACTAGGTCCATATTTCTTTTACTCTAAGGTTCTCCAGATTTTATCATTTCTGTGGTGTGGGGAAGAATATCTAGAGAAGAGCTACACTGAACTATTAATTTGATATTTTCCCCACACTGGACTGTTACTTTGCTTGGTTTTTTAAGAGCTTAGGAGACTGAGGAAGTTGTCTGCAGACCAGACTGGGAGGTAGCCACGGCTTTGTCCTTATGCGCTTGCTTTTTAAAAGCTAAATGGGATCCAAAAGAGAATAGTAGAAGAGAAATGAACACACTTACTCTAGCTTAGTTTTATTTCTGATCCTTAACCTAATTTCTCAGTAAAATCTCTGTCTCTTAACCTAATTTGTAGTGTTCCTCCAGGACTTGATTTTTTTTTTTTTTTTAAGTAAACTTTTTATCTACACAGAAAGGGACACAAGTTATAAGTGTATAACTTGGTGAATCTTCACAAAGTGAACACACCCATGATTTAAAAAATTAATACATTACTGGTAGCCAGAAGCCCTCCTCAAGCCCCTCCTATCACTGCTGTCCTCACCCCTACCACACAAAAACACCCAGATAACTATCCTGGTTTTGAACACCACAGATAAGTTTTGTCTGTTTTTGAACTTTTATATAAATAGAATCTAATAGTATGCACTATTGTTGTCTCTGACTTCTTTCCCTCAACGTTACGTTTGTGAGATTCAGCCAGTGTGTGTGTAGCATCTGTTTGTTCTTTCTTACTGCTGTACAGTATTCCATTGTATGAATATGCTACCATGTATTTATGCTGTTTACTGTGGATGGACATTTGAGTTGTTTCCAGTTTGAGACTCTTATAATAGGGGTGCTGTAAATATTCCTATACATGTCTTTTCTTGAACATATATATGTATTTCTGTTGAGTATATACCTAGGATTGGAATTTCAGGGTTATAAGGTATGTAAGTGTTTGACTTCATTAGATACTGGCAAATAGCTTTCTAAAGTTATTTATCAATTTCCATTTCCACCAGTAGTGCTCCATATCCTCGGCCACACTTGTTCATGAATATCTTTTTTATTCTGGACATTCTTGTGGCTGTGTAGTGGTATCTCACTGTGGTTTTAATTTGCATTTCTTTGATGACTAAAGATGCCAAATACCTTTTTATTTGATTAATATTCATTTAGATATCCTATTTCGTAAAGTGTCTGGTCTTCTTTTTTGCCTATTTTCCTATTGGCTTTCTTTTTTATTTTTTATGATTTTTTGGAGTTCTTTATTGTGGATAAGATTCTTTTGTGAGATATATGTAATGCAAATACTTTCACCGGGTGGTTTGCCTTTTCACTCTTAGGGTGTCTTTTGTTGAATAGAAGTTCTTAAGTTTATTGTAATCTAATGTGTAAGTTCTTCTTCCATTTATGATAAGTGCTTTTTGTGTCCTGTTTAAGAAATTTTTGACTATCCCTCCCCTGAAATATAGCAAACTAGTTGCTGTTGAGTCAATTCCAACTACTGGCAATCCCACGTGTGTCAGAGTGGAACTGTACTCCATGGGGTTTTCAAGGATGTGACCTTTTGGAAGCAGATTGCCAGGCCTGTCTTCTGAGGTGCCTCTGGGTGGGTTCAACCCGCCAGCCTTTCTCAGTGCTTAACCACTTGCACTAACCAGTATTCCTCCTATCCCAAAGTCATGAATATATTTTCCTAAGTTTTCTTCTAGGAGCTTTTATTATTTGACCTTTCACAGTTTAGATCTATAGTTCATCCAGAATTGATTTTTCCATGTAATGTGAGGTTCATATTCTTCCATATAGGTATCCAATGGACTGAGAATCATTTACTGAAAAGACACCCATTCGCCATTGCATTGTGGTGTCACCTTAGTCGTATGTGTGTGCTCATATATGTGTGGATCTGTTTCTGGACTCTGGTTCTATTACTCTACTTGTTTTAATTACTATAGCTTTATAATAAATATTGATATCTGATAGAAGAAAGTTACCAATTTTATTGTTCTTCAAGATTTTCTTGGCTTTTCACATTGTCGTATAAGCTTTAGAATAAGTTTGTCAAATTCTACAGCAAAATATGCTGGGACATTGATTGGGGTTACGTTGCATCTATAGATCAGTTTGAGTAGAACTGAAGTATTTACAACATTGAATCTTCCAGTCTGTGATCATGGTATTTGCCTTCATTTGTCTTATTTTCTATCAATAACATTTTTCTGGTTTTCAGCCTAGAGGTCTTGAACACCTTTTGTTAGATTTATTCCTAGGTATTTGAGGATTTCATTTTGTTAGTCATCCTTTTGAGGGCTTGGAACCTCTGAGCACCTCTTAGGGTATGCTGTTAACACTCATCCTGAGAAACTGGAAATGTATCTTGTACCCCATTTCTCTTCCAGCATTCCTATCCCCCTTATTATGGCATTATCATGTGCATGCTAATTACTTAGAATATTAAGACATTAGTAATTATGGCTATGAAAAATTTAGAAAAGACCAGTTTTCCAATTATGAATAGTTGTTAGTAGAATTATATAGTGAAATTATATACTTTGGTGGAGTCAAATGAATCAGGCTACATACTACCATGTGACTTTGTCCTCACCAAAAGAATTGGTTGAAATGATAATTGAGCTAGTGTTTGTCAGTATTCTAGGGGAAAGAAAGGAGAATGTAGCAATACTGGCATGTAGTATCACATAATATCAACCATAACAAAGACAAATTGTGAATAATAAAGTCACATCCATTTTCCAGTGGTTGCTCACGAATAAAGCTTGCCGATTTGGTCCTGATAACTTCTCATATACCAATCGTTATGTTCAATAGAACCTTCTCTACTTTTGAGATGATAATGCTTTCTAAGGAGCAGAGGAAAGCAGACTATAGAGAAAAGCTTCATTTTAAAAAAAATGTTGTAATCTAGTAATTATCCTTTAATTCACTTTACCTTTTATATTCTGAAAACCTTTGGTACAGTCAAAACCAGTCCAAAAAGCAGTATTCAGAAGATC